TATTTACTATGCGGTCGTCGGAAACTCCTTTTATTAAAATTAGGATATTCATCTAAATCTACAGGTAGGTATATACCCAGATTTTATTTATCTACTAATTGGGTACTTACCCACCGCCCATCACTGATCCTTTTCACCTTTTCGATAAGTTATAAGATAATCGAGATACAAAGGTTATCGAAAAATGCAAAAATTTCTACTAATTAAAAAATAAAAAGTAAAAGAAAGAAATAAGAAATAACTTTGAACTAAGAAGGCTAGGATAAATCTGTGTGTAGCATATTTAGTTTCATAATAAGTAGAACAATGATGTGAAAACGGCATCATCTCTACTCATAAACCAGAAACCCCATAAAACACACAAAAATGGGACATCCTGTACATCTAGCAATCGCCAGTCGATATAAAAATAATTCACACACAGTAGTCTAAAAATGGAAGAAAAAAACAATATTCTCTTCATATTTGTGAAAAAATACATGTCCATATTTATGTAATCGTAGCGACAAAAATAAAAAAATAGAAATAGTGTGCATGATGCCTTTACAAAAATATCTGAAGAAATGGGGATTGACATCACAACGTTTAATTAGTATGTCATATTTCATAGTATCGATATAAATTACATAATAAACTTTACTGTTGACTCGTCTTGTACTTTCATACTGATATACCTTGTACATGATACTGAAATATTCGGATTTGTTAAAAAAATATATACAATGTGTCCACGGATTGACTCCCAATGAGGGAAAACTTTTTTATTCGTGGGTTTATGAAAAAAAGTTATTCTTCATAAAAACTCCTGCTTGAGCTTAAACGACCAACAGGCATATTATTTTTACAAATGTATATACCGAGTGTTAAAAAGTTTAAAAAATATGGGAAACGCTAAGAACAAAGTACTTGTATACTAAGGGCTCGCAAAGGTTAGTCTTGGGTCGAGATTTCCGTATGTAAGAAGAGTAAAATGCGTTTATAATGTACTAAACAAAGAGAGGACAGTAAACACGTTGCCAAACATATGAAATACGAGAAACTGTGCACATCGCTAAGAAACGTGGAAGGGGATAAAACAGATTTGTCACAGTTGACCGGGCGACCCAATCAATACCTCTGTTAGTACTTTAAGTTCTAGGGAAAGGTGTACGCCATGCGTTCACCTTCACGATTTAATTACGTCTCGTAATACTTAATTTGTTCGTTTATTAACGAATCGTTGTAATATTCCCTATAGCTAGAATTTTTTTAAGTGCAAGCTAGAAACACTTACATATTTGGTAAAAATAAGTGGAATTGAGTGGGTGTTCGATAGTGGTCGCGCCATTAGAACTCTGAATTCAAAAATCGATATCTCGGAATCTATTAGAAATAATAAATTGTAGTTTTTTCAAGAACTTTGTTAATATTTCTGCTGTATTTTCTTTGTAAAGAGCATGTGAAAATCTTTATCAATAAAAAAATTACACGATTGCTGAAAATTGCTATGCTCTAAAAGTAAACGGATGGATTTTTTGCAATTTTTGAATAGAAAACAACCTTATCGAATTTTTCTTATGTAAACATATTGTAAAATATCCGATCTTAAAAATAAAAAAAAGTTTCAATATCTAAAGTGGTTCTTGAGTTATGGCCTGTTATATGTTAAAAAGTTGAATTTTTAAATTATCGCGATTATTGACGTCTTCTCGTTATAAAAAAAATGACACCCTAACGATATCCTTTTAATTCCATTTCAGATGCTCAGAAACATGTCTAATGATTTTATCTAGTTATCTCTTGAAAAAAAAGTCTTTTAAAAATAAGCGGTTTGCGATCGTGATTTTTTGGCGTATCGGCAACGCCGCAACAGCACACCGCCGCGCGTCGCGTCGGTCGGTCGCATTTCTCTCACTCCGACTTAATAAGATCCCTATGCGATTTACTTCCACACATGTAAATGCCGACCCAAAAGTATCCGTTGCCAGCACGGTATGTAAAAATACGATGAAATGTTATTAATAAAAGTTCTAGAGATTGAAAAACTACACCGCGTTACCAAATTTTATCTCGCTACCTAAATGTACAGGGATTGGTAAAAGATTCCTCTCCACATAAAATACCATTTACTTAAAAAAAAAGCTTTTTGTTTTTTTTTAAATTGACAACCTGTTTTTATTATCTATTATTTGTTTGCGCAACAATATTTTTTTTTATTTTTCATTCGTTTTCTAAAAAAAAGTTTAATAATTAATCGTGTCCGAGTTTTATTTTTTACCAATTTATAGTCTCCATTGGTTAATTTAAAAAGGGAAGTAAGGAAAAGGTAAACAAGGACTTAAAAGTTAAGTTAATTTAGAGTAAATGGTATTTTATATGGAGAGGAATCTTTTACCAATCCCTGTACATTTAGGTAGCGAGAAAAAATTTGGTAACGTGGTGTAGTTTTTCAATCCCTAGAACTTTTATTAATAACTTTTCATCGTATTTTTACATATACAAGTACTTTGTTCTTAGCGTTTTCCATATTTTTTAAACTTTTTAACACTCGGTATATACATTTGTAAAAATATAATACCTGTTGGTCGTTTAAGCTCAAGCAGGAGTTTTTCTGAAGAATAACTTTTTTTCATAAACCCAGGAAAAAAAAGTTTTTCCTCTTTGGGAGTCAATCCGTGGACACACTGTATATTATTAAATTTCAATTTTTATTTTTACACGACAAAGAATTGCAGTTTTATAAAATAAAAATTATGCGCCTTTCGGATTTTTTAAAAATTTTAGAGGTTACTAGATATTTCGTAATAAACATGTAGCTGCTATATTAAAAATATGTTGTGGTGTATTGTTACATAATCGACTAATTTCCAAGCACTGAATGGACGAAGGAAGAAAGCGAAGGGACGAAGGAACGAAGTGAAGTGACGAAGTAACGCGAGGAAGGGACGAAGGAGCGAAGTGTGAGTATGGGGCTTAATACTAAATATTTACTGAAGTCTATTTATTGATCAGTTATTGTGTTGCAATAATAAAAAATAATACTACCTCATACAGAGTGTGTAAAAAATTTATTTTAAATTATTTCTAGGTTTAAACGGCAATAACTTGTTTAATTTAAATGGAACACCCTGTATATTTTATGAGAATCAGATACACAATTTAATTGTCTATCAAATTGTATTATACCACTTTTTACCTATACCTTCAAGTTTTCGTAGAAAATGCATTTTCTTAGAATTTAGACCTCATTTATCAATATACCCATGGAATATTGACATTTTAGATTATTTTTAAAGCAACAAATGTACAAAATGTACAGGCTAGTAATATTATCGTTTTTATCAAAATGATAATATTACTAGCCCATTTGTATGCAAAAAGAAAACTATTTAAATCTTTATAAAAGAGTATACCATTAATTAAATATACCACCATTATTTCCGCCCAAATACTGATTAATTACATACTTAATTATGTTCGTTAATAAATTATTCTAAATAAATGTGGATTTGAATCAGAAATCAATATAATAATAAGTTTTGAAAATGAATGTCGCTGTTGTTATAAATAAGCATTTGTAAAAAAATGAAATATCATTTTTAAGGTGTTACTTTTTACCACACTGTCTAATACACAGAGAAAATTCAGTTTTTTAGTATTTGGGGCAATTATTATTAATCAACGCAAACAGTCAATAATTAATGTGGTTTGAATACTGGAATCATATTAATTGATCCTCTTTAACAAATATTTAAACAGTTTTTTTATTTTTTAATGAAATAAACAAACTATATCGACCATATTAGTATCTGTACTTTTTAAAAATTTAGTACATCTTTAAAAATGAATTTGCTAAATTTATTTTTAGACAGTATATCTGACATGTTTCGGTTAATTTCACCTGAATATTAAAATTAAATTAAAATTAAATTACTTTTGACAATGACAAAGTTATATAGTTTGTAAACCTAAGGTATGTCAGTTTTTGACTGGTGTTTGATTGTTACCTGTTCGGTTTTAATTTAAAAATGCAATTTTTCTTAAATTACTCAAAATCGGCTGGTCCAAAATTGATCGAATTTGGCATGTGTATTTACCATACATAAACCTTTAAAAAAAATATTTACGACTTAGCTGTAAAATCAATAAACGAGCCAATATTTGAACAGTTCAAAATTTGCATGGGATTTCCTATGGTTCCAATGTTCCTATGCACCACCCGGTATATAATATTAGTATTCAAGCAAATTATTATACTATAATTTGCTTAAATACTACTGTTACACATATTCATTTAATACTACCTCAAATTTACTGTAATTTAATATTACTACTAAAAAGAAGGATAAATAAATGGAGCAGCCCTCAACAGTCCGTAACCGTATATACCAGTATATACTAGTGTAAATACTGGTGTATACTAGTGTAAATACTGGTGTATACCTTGTGTATACGGTTAACGAGTTGTTGAAGGTTGCGCCGATTATTTTTCCCTCCTTTTCTCGGTGTTTTTTGACATGAGAAATTTGATCACAATATATGACTCCTACTTGTAGGGGGCGCCATGCCTTTTTTTTGCATTGTAATAACAATGTAATGACTAATGACTCCTTATTTTTTCACACGCAATCGCTTCCCGAAATGTTTCACAATTTTCTAGATACACCCTATAAAATAAATAGGTACGTGTATTGAACCAATTAATTATAAAACCAACAAATAGCTAAAGCTAACTAATTATGTTTTAGTGCTTAGATTTTCGAGCTTATTACTTTATTAAAAATAATAAAGATGGTAAATTTGCTGTGTTTAATTATTAACATTTATTCACCTCATGTAGTAAAAACAAGCAAATTCAGTTCCACTTTATATTTTAACATGTTAAAAAAAATAACGGTTCTAATAAAACAGAATTCAGGACATATTATAACACTTCCGCAGTCTGTCTAAATTTGCTGTTATAGATACTCTTTCAATAGCCCTTTTATTCAGTAACGATTTTAATAAAACAAGCAGCTTACCTAAAGCAACTCTTGCGCTCGTAGCTTCATGATTAATCCAAAATGAAACCCATGATAGCATAACAATGAGAATACTTGGTAGATATGTTTGAAAAATGAAATATCCAATGTTCCTCTGAAGTTTGAATGAAAGAGATAATCTTTGGTAAATCCCTAAAATAAAATTAAACAAATAATTTTTGGCTTTATAGTTATTACAATAATTTAGTTAGGACAATATGAGACTTAAATGCACTTAAAAAATATATAATAAAACTTAATAGCATAAGAGACTTACAATTTGCACTATTATCACGGCATATAAATCCCACGGCAGGCCAAATCGCTGTGGCGGGAACGCTAGGCGCATATCCTTGCGCACGCCGCCATTATGGGTGCCAGCAACAGACATACAGTTACGGCAGCTTCGAGTCAGTAGCGTGCGGCTTAATTTATTTCATTCTTTTCTTGAGTGATATATTTTGTTTTTTTATTTTTGTTTATTGTGTGATATATTTGGTTTTTGTAGTTTAGTAGTACAATGGAAGTACGGCATTCAAAGTAATTTTTATTATTAGGTATCCTACAAAATGACAAACAAGATTTATTTCTAAATTGTTTTTCTGTTTAATCTGTTTTTCTGATTATCCGTATCTATTTTTAATTTTTATTGATAGCCCATGACAATTCAGAGAGAAAAGAACAGAGGTCTCGTTGTTTTTTATAATAAGATGTTTGCCAGATCATTTTGGCAATTTTCACTACCAGTGTGTAATATTCGGACACAAAGTTTTTTAAATGTTCTTCTAATCTGGATGAATTTATCCTGGATGGGAATAATGATAGGTTTACAAGATATTGGAATTACAAGAATTACAGGAATTACAAGATAAAGTTGTCGTACCAGATTTTTATGAGTGAAACTGTACACTCAAATCTCGCGACAAGCTTTTATATAATATAAAATTGTGTAATGATGTTATAAGTTAATAATAAAAGTTTTAAAGAAAAAGTTTATTTTTTTCTTTTTAATGTATTTACATAAAAGCTTGTTTTTAAAAAGTTTTTTTTCTTAAATTTATTTTTTACTTTTTAGTTATGCTGGTTTCTCAGTGCCACACACTTAAACTCAATTCTTTTTCTTAAATAACTTCCTATGAGCATCCTAATAATATGTACATAAATCGATTTTCATTAAAAAAGGAGAACTTAAAAAAAACGACAGCTGTCAAATTTGACAGTTCAAATGTGAGACAAATAAAATGAAAACCGACTATGGGGTAGGGAGTATCCAATATATCGATTTTTATCAAAATCGGACAACTTTAAGATTTTTTAGACAGCTGTCAAATTTGACAGCTCAATTTTCTTTTTCATTTTAAGCCATGGCCATCCTATATATAGATTTTTATCAAAATCGGACAACTTTTGAAATTTTTTTGACAGCTGTCAAATTTGACAGCTCAATTTTTTTTCTTTCATTTTAACCCATGGCCGTCCTATATATAGATTTTTATCAAAATCGGACAACTTTGAAATTTTTTTGACATCTGTCAAAAATTCGGGTCATGCCAAGAAAATGTATTGTCATCGGGACTGAACCTACATGCCAAATTTCAATTTCCTACAATGAAAGGAAGTGCTTCTAATTTAGCTTACAAGATTTGCCCCGAACAAACATACATACAAAACAAGTTAAATAAAAGCTTGAAAATAAGCTAGGGACTGCTTCCCATTGGTAAAGATACCTCTCACCATAACAACATTAGACACTCGAGCTGGTTTAAACTCTCTGTTCCCCTTCTGGTCCTCAAAACCTACAATATTATCACGACCACTATTATAAAATAAATTGCACTTGATTTTCATATCATCAATACATAGAACACAATATCGATTAAGTTCATCCGGTTCATTGAAACTTTCAACTTTTCTTTTTTAGAGTCTCAAATACACTAAGATTTTCTAAGCCAGGTTTGATATAAATGTCATATATTCATTATCTTAGTGTCTGTGGGTCTCTGGACGTGGAAGGCAAAATTGATTTGTCAAAAGCGTCTTGTATATTTTTGGCCCGGAAAAGTATATAGCCAAACATTTATATTTAAATTCATCAGTTACTTTTCTTCCTTTAGCTGATTTGTTAATTTGTGCAATTTGAATATTAACAAAATTTGCTATGTCCATTGATAGACATAATTTGTACATAGTCTCTTTAGATTATTCAATAGATCTTTTATTGGGTATTTCTTTAATTCTTAATTGTAACTCCTGGCATGTTTTTTAATTTTAATTGTCTATTCTCTACAGTTAAATGTTTAATTAATTTTTCATTTTTACTTTACGAGTAGTGTGCGCGGTTAACGATTCATTTGTTTAGAGAAAAGTATTGGTGTACATAAAATTCAGTTTCAGTCAATTACAGTAATTTTTTTAATACGACCCTGTCTAATCAATAGTTTATTTTCTGGGAAATTTTTTAATACGTTTTAATCCGGCCCTGACTCAGCACCCATAATGGTGATTTCAAGGTCAAATTTTATAGAAATTTTAAACAATGGGATCTTGGCAGAGTTAGCCTGCCGTGTGATTTATATGCCGTGCTATTACCATAGAAAAACATAGGCGTTTTAAGCCAAGTATAGACATCAAGGGATAAATCTTTATTCTATTGCAAAACGCTAGCGGTAAAATACATAAAATCCTCATCATAACTCTTAATACAATAATATATTTTGAATTTTCTTATCTATAAAATGTGCATATGGAAGCTCACAGTGTACAGACCTCGTAAGTAATATTGAATATGCTTTAATTGGACACACAAAATTAAAAGAATGAATTTTTTTCCAGTTTAAATAAGAGTAGATACAATATAGGGAGAGGTAGAGATATTTCACTAATAACTCGGATAATATTTTTTCTTCAATTCCCATGACATTTCTAGATTGTAAGGAGGCTTTAACCTATCGCTTTTTTTCTAATGATCTCTTCACATTTAACTTATTGTTTCATTATTATCGCTAAAATTAGGGCTATAGTTAATTATAATATTCTTTCTTTTACCAAATGCTATAGTTACATACTTTAATTGCATAAAATTCTAAATTTAAATGTAGATAAATAAAACTGATATTTTACAATTACAATTTCAGAATTATTTTCTCCAGAAATATTAGTGGAGTACACAGAGACTGTTACCTCAAAATTCAGTTACTGTGAATGTATTAATGTGAAACCTTCTGTATTGTGTTTTATAGATAAAATACTAAAATGTTTACTCATTTTTTTGCGTTACTTTTAATTTTTTATTTTAGTAATTTTAGTAAATTCTTAATTATTTCCTTTTTAATGTTTTGATTTTTTTTAATTCTTTTTCTAAGTAAATTTATTGAAATAAATAAATATAATGCATAAGCTATACCTATTCTGCTTATATTCTAATCATTGAAATTTTGATTGAAATCGACTGATACAGGGTGGCGCGTCATATACGACGCGGTTTTTGCAAGGAGAACAAAAGTTTCTATTGAAGTGAAATTTTGTGAGCTTATGTAAATCAATTTAAAGCATTTTCTAAAATTATATAGAGTTCTACAGAGTGTCGCCAAAAAAAGTTACACATCAAAGTTATGTTTTTTGTAATGGAACACCCTATATATTAATTGATTTTTGGATTCTAATAAAAAAAATGTTTGTTTTATTAGAAAAAGTATATGACTAAAATGTATAGTTTTTGAAATACATTATCAGGCACGAAAAATGGGCACTTTAAAACTTTGATGTATCTTAAAGGTTAATATATTTTGTTTTAATGGGCCGATTTTGATGATTTTATAAGCAGTTCTTGACATAAGATTTGCTTCATTTAATCTTCTTATAGTCCGTTAGTTAATATGTACGCTCCTTAAGTGTAATTCATTATCAATTTGAAAAGCTGGCAAACGGCGGTTTCTTAGCGATAAACTTACAATAAGTCGATCGTCTCGATTAGAAGTTGTCATACGAAGGTTCCTGACGTCTAGATTGACGTGCTCATGGACTTGCTCATAATTCAAAAACCACTTAATATACTCTATGGAATTAAGATATTTTTAAAACTGGAATTTTATAGCAAATTCGCTGAACTAAACAAATATAGATATACAGGGTGGCCCATCGAAAACGTTCCTCAAGGCATAACGGCCAGGGTAATTTTTTTTTCAGAAAATTCAAAAACACGTCAATTTTGTTTGTGCGGGGGACAACTTTTGCCCCAAAAATTATTGCAAACTCTTCAACCCTCTAAGCGGGGGTGTCATCCCCCAATTTTTTTCAAATGGAAAGGGGGGTCAAGTGGTACCGCAATGAAAAGGGCTTTCTATTCTCTATACTTTCCCGCTTCGTTTTTGAAAATCGGTCGAGTCATTGAGAAAATATGAAGGATTGAAATTTGAAAAGTTTATTTAAACATTTATCAGAGTAAATGATAAGGATAAAATCCTTCAACCAATTTGCTGTTTTTTCTTATTATTTCTAGATGTTTACGCATTTTTTCACTTGCTACAAGGTTGAACGATCAGGTGGGGTAGTTGCTAGATAGCTGTTCTGTGACTTGTGAGTTGAAGTTCTTCTCAATATCGTTAAACTTTATGACAATTATGGTGTACTCACTTGCAGAAAAAGTGAAAATAATCGAACTAAATTTTAAAAATAATGAATGTGGCAATCGGGTTGCACAGATATTCAATGAACGCCATCTTGACAAACAGGTTTATGGCAAAATTGTTCGCGAGTTAGGAGCAAAAAACTGGTTTCGTTATGAATAAAAAGAGGCAGAGGGAAAATCCTGTAGTAAATGAAGCTATGGAGGTATTCGTATTGGGGCAAGTTGCTATGGATAGTACGCTGAGTACAAGAAAATTAGTCAATGAGTCCGGCGTGAATCGTACAAGTGTTCAAAGGATATTAAAAAAACACAACTTCCATCCGTACAAAATTCAGTTGGTACTTGAACGCAACAAAGGCGATTTTGATCGTCGCTTGCAATTTTGTAAAACTATGAGTGAACGAGTGGCCAATGATAATAATTTCCTATTTAATGTATGTTTTTCGGATGAGTGTACTTTCTTTTTGAACGGTGTAGTTAATCGGCACAACTGTCGGTACTGGGCTGAAGACAACCCCAGGGTTTTTCACGAGGTGCACACACAAAACCCTCAGAAATTGAACGGGTGGGTTGGTATTTTTGGAAATTCTATTGTGGGTCCTTTTTTTCTTCCTGGAAATCCAACAGATGATATGTACTTGGATTTACTGGAAAATACCATCGACCCAGCCCTAACTGACATCATAGAGAACAATCCTGGATACGTCGAAGAGTAACTAATATTTCAACAAGATGGTGCACCTCCACATTGCTCTCAAAATGTGCGTAATTTTTAAACAATAACTTACCCGGTCGGTGGATAGGACGAAGGGGTGCAATTGAGTGGCCTTTCCGGTCACCCGACTTGACTCCTTTAGACTTTTCTCTATGGGGAGACATAAAAAGTAAAGTATATAGCACTCCACCCGCTTCATTATTACATATACATATTAAGTCCTGCGAAGACGAATTATTGATGTTTGTCGCGAAGTGACCCCGCAAGTTCTTCAGAATGTTCGAGAACGGTTTGAAAATAATTTGTATTACTGTATGGAGGTGAACTACCATTAAACACATATTTTGTAAAAAGTTTGAAGAGAAAATCTTAAATAGGAATCCTGATACAGAGCTTTTCCGGAATGTGGAGCCATCTTGGATGCATGCATTTGTATACTAAGGGCTGGCAAAGGTTAGTCTTGGGTCGAGATTTCCGTATTTAAGAAGAGTGCAATGCGTTTATAATGTACTGAGCAAAGAGAGGACAGTAAACACGTTGCCAAACGTATGAAATAAACCGAGAAACTGTGCACATCGCTAAGAGACGAGGAAGGGGATATAGCAGATTTGTCGCAGTTGACCGGTCGACCCAATCAATACCTCTGTCAATACTTAAAGTTCTAGGGAGAGGTGTACGTCATGCGTTCGGCTTCACGATTTAATTACGTCTCGTGATACTTAATTTGTTTATTTATTAACGAGTCGTTGTAATTTTCCCAATCGCTTGAATTTTTTTAAGTACAAGCTAGAAACACTTGCATTTTTGGTAAAAATAAGTGGGATTGAGTGGGTGTTCGATAGTGGTCGCGCTATTAGAACTCTGAATTCAAAAATCGATATCTCGAAATCTATTAGAAATTTGTGATTGATTGTAGTTTTTTCAAAAACTTTGTTAATATTTCTGCTGTATTTTCTTTGTAGACAGTATGTGAAAATCTTTATCAATAAAAAAATTACACGATTGCTGAAAATTGCTATGCTCTAAAAGTAAATGGATGGATTGTTTACAATTTTTGAATGGAAAAAACAACCTTATCGAATATTTCTTATGTAAACATATTGTAAAATATCCGATCTTGAAAATAAAAAAAGTTTCAATATCTAAAGTGGTTCTTGAGTTATGGCCTGTTATGTTTTAAAAAAATTGAGTTTTTAAATTATAGCGATTACTGACGTTTTCTCGTTATAAAAAAATGACACCTTAACGATATCCTTATAATTCCATTTCAGATGCTCAGAAACATGTCTAATGATTTTATCTAGTTATCTCTTGAAAAAAAGTCTTTTAAAAATAAGCGGTTTACGATCGTGATTTTACTTTACTTGATAGGGAAAGGCGTATCGGCAACGCCGCAAGAAGCACACGGTCGCGCGTCGCGTCGGTCGGTCGCATAGGGGGTACGGTAGTGCCTCCGCCAAGCCGAGCGCAGCTATACCGTCCCTTTCTCGAAGGTAATAGCGGCACTTTTAACCACACTGTAACTTCGTTATGGATAAAGCAAGAATATTATTTTTTTCTAAACATGAGGACATACTATTTATAGCTGGCTAGATTACCAAAATATCTAGTAATTATATCTCAGACTTTATGAATTATCGCTTGTCAAATTAATGTCTCGAAAAAATGAAAATCGAAAATCTCTCAAAACATCCTTATGGATTAAATTTTAGCTGTCTAGCCATTACCGGTAACTGATTTTCCAGTCGAGAAAAAGGTGGAAAACTAGAATTAATCGAAGCGGTCTCTTCTGATTTTATTTGTATAATATACCAACAATAATTCAAGGATTATGAACTTTTTCTAGTCAAACTTCTTTAACTTCGCCAGTGACTCACTCGCCGTCATCAAAATTCTAAGGTATTTCGGTCTCACTCCGACTTAATAAGATCCCTATGCGATTTACTTCCACACATGTAAATGCCGACCCAAAAGTAACAGTTGCCAGCACGGTATGTGTGTTTATTTAAATACTAAAGTGAAAGCAACGAATTTAAATGGGTAAACACGGTGCCTCGTTGCATCGTTTGCTTCCTGGTTTTTTGTGTTTTGGGATCGGTTTCATCGCTTCCTGGTTCCTTACCGTACTGATGAAGCCTGAAGGCAGTAACATCAGTGTGCACTAGTGTAGGTGTGTGGTTGTGTGAGTGTGTGAGTGTGCGTGTCTGCACTGGTGTACACTGGTGTATACGGTTACGAGTTGTTGAGGGCTGAGCCATTTAATCTTTTTCTTCTTTTTTATACATTTCCCTCACTATTTCTTTCTTGTAGAGATTTTTACCTCAAAGTTATAATATGGTCGGGCAATGCAAATAAATCAAAAATATAAAAATATTCCAGTTATTTAAACTTGTCGGAAGCGCTAAAGACTAAAGAGTATTTCTATGCAGAAATCAGCACGATACGATAATTATTAACGAAATGACGGCAGTTTTAAAATTGTGCAATCCGGACGCTCAATTGTTCTCTATATTATCTTTTAATTATGTCATATACTAATTATTTTCTCTGATCTTATGATTTATGTAACGAGACATCCCATGGAGAGCCAATGAGTAGTCATAACTTTTTATGACTTGCTTGAATAAGTTAAATGTCAAAAGTACATTTTATAGGTATCTATACTAGGATAAAACATCACTCATAGATATATTTTAAATCGTCTTAATTTTGCGAAATTTTGCCTACCTGTTGCTAATTTTTCTTTTCGATCGTTGGGTTTATATCCTAGTAATGTAAATTGTGGAAGTTCTGCTTCCTCTACGCCCCTTACTGGTCTATCTTTCCAATACATCACCACGTCCATTACAGTATATCCATCTACAAATTAAAAAGCAGTTGCATTTAGGCCACAAAAAAGGTCAATACAAAGCACTTACAACTTTCAATTTCTACTGTACAATTCTGAGAATCGAGTGGATAATAATGAAGATCCATCATACATGCTAAAGTTGTTGTAAATCTCATTCCGTATGTTATTGAGCCATCTCCACTGAGTCTGACTAATTTATTTCTCTCGGTCACATCATGGAGAAAACTATTGATAAGTTATTAACAATATATTAAAAAAGAAGGCAACAGCTCTGTATCATTAATTCTTGGCAATTTAGAATTATACAGGGTGAGTCTTAAACAGGGGTGGATGGGGAAGTGGAAACCGGCCCGGGAACAACAGGCAACCGGCCCGAATCCACAAAAACAAAATGACCATAACGAAGAAACATATTTTATTTATTAATATACAAGGTGTCCCAGAAATAAATGCAAGTATTTTAACTGGTAGTATATTTCGGCCTCAGAAACACGACTATCAGTTTTTTTACGAAAATTTGGAATTTTTTGAAGAAATTTTTGAAAATTTTTTTAGTTTTAAGTTAAGAAAACATAATTTCTTGTGATATTTACATGAAAGAAAATACAGAAAAGATCTAGTGGTTCTTGTTTAAATTTTCAAAGTAAAATAAATTGGTTATTTTGGACTTTCTTGAAAAACGGTAAAGAGAAAAAATGTTTCTTTTGACCAAATCTACCCCCCTTAAAATACTTGCACTTGTTTCTGGGACACCCTGGGTAAGGGTCAAATCACCCCAAGTAAGGGTGATTTTCGCTCGGTCGAACAAAATCTCTTTCGCCTCCGATTTTTTAAAAATATTGAAATTGTCTTGATCAAAATTTTTATAAAGATCAATATCGGGTCGGACATTTGAATTTTCACTAGAAAATAGCTCAGTTTCACAGGGTTCTACTGTTTTATTTCCATTATCGATAACGGTTATTTGATCTTAAATATGCTACGATTTTGAATCACGGTTTTAAGACTTTAAGACTTTCTGATTCATTCAGTTCAGCTGGCCCAATCCTCTGTGAAATACAAATACATTATTTTTAGATTTTCAGGTATATACTTTCTTACAATCTGTAGAAAGAAATTCTCTCTTTTCTGGTACAGCAGCAGCCTCGTCATGTATACGTGTTTTAATTTTGGTATAATTCTCATCACGTAACTTTCCTAGTTTTTACATTTGGCATCTTGTATGATAATGCCATGACTCAAACGAAAAAAACCTAGGCAATACCTAAACAGTGGATATAAATGTGTTTTTATAAAAGAATAGTGATAAAACTATACAGAATGAGTCTTAAATAAGTGCAAATATTTTCAGGGATGGTATATTTCGACCCCAGGAACACGTCTAGGATTTGTTATTCTAAAAAAAGATGTTGAGAATCGTGCTTTTTCTTTTAAATTTTCCTGTAAATTTTAGAAAAATTTATAGAACGTCCTGTTCACCGCAAATTTTCCCACGGTATAGTTTCTAATCTTTGATATTACGGCACAAAAAGAGATGCAAATACAGAAATATTTAGGTGGCAAAATTTTTTAAAAATAAATCAGTTTTTTTAAATTCAAACTGGTTATTTTGGACTTATTTGAAACACTGTAAAGAGAATATATTATGTTTCTTTTATTCATATCTACCAGCCCTGAAAATATTTGCACAAGGCAGCACAAATAAGGTGCACTTATAGACTCACCTTGTATAATAAAACATTTCAAATGGAACAACAAAAAACAGATGTTTATTAAAATTATAAGTGTCTCAGAGGAATACATCTAACAATAGTTATTTTACAAATTGGTGTTTATGTTTAAAAGCAACTAACGATTATATTGTTGCAAATTGATTAGTTAGTTAGGCAGTCACTAAGAATTTTACGTAACTTTAGTTAAAAGATTAACCATTTAATTTTTGCTAAATCAATCTTTTTTTGAGCTCTGATCGGGACCGGCCCACCGGCCCATCTTCCCACCGGCCCACCGGGAATTTTCCCGTTTTCCCATATGGCCCACCCACCCCTGGTCTTAAATAAGTGCAAATATTTTAGGGGTAGTATATTTCGACCTCAGAAACACGATTATGGTTTTTTTTCGCGAAAAAAAAATTGAAAATTTGGAATTTTTTGAAAAAAATTTTGTATTTTTTACAACATAGGTAGTATATTAAAATTTAATTTAAAAGAAAAAAAATACAGAAAAGATCCAGTGGTTAGATTAGGTTAGGTTAGGTTTTTATTTCATTTGACAGCATTAATATACAATACCTATTTTATAAAATCACACATATTACATTGTCAAATTCTTTGATAAAATCTGGATAAAATAAAATCTTTGGCAAAGAAATTTGATAGTGTAATACTGGTCTAGTCCTAAAAAGCAAAAAGCGTTTCTATATGGTAATATCTAATTCGATTTCATTCTTTGATAGATGGTTATTATTAATTTTGATTAATGTATAATAATTATGCATATTCTATGCTGTTGTTTGATTGATTTTTATGTTTTTCTTAATTTTCTCTAAAACGGTATGAAAATTTAGGAAACTATAAACGGGATTAACCATTTTAGAACAAGCAACATTTTTTATAAAGAATGCTTTTTTCTCAAAAAGTCAATATTAAAAAAGGTTTTCCTCTTGTAAAGACAATCCGAGGACATACTATAGAGTCACTGATTAATGTTTTTTTTTTGGGTTTACAATTTTGGTTTGCCTTAAAATATTTAACTGTGTGCCAGTGGCAGGGGCGTCTAACGTTAACTTAACCTAGCCGGTTTGGTAACTTTATTTATTGGATTTAAAATATTTATCTATTTAAGAAAAAAAAAGAACATCAATCCAGTAGTCACATTAAGCGAGGCAATGGGAAATGTTCTTAAATATAATATACATATGTACCTTTAGTAGGTACAGGGTGTCCCACTAAGAATAGCTCTCGGCTGTATCTCGGAAAGTATTAGTCGTAGAGCTTGCGGAAAAAAATATTTAAAGCTAAAAAGACCTTGAGAAATTGCTGGAAATTATTTTCAAGTTTGTAGGAAGACCGCTAGTGGGCCTTAGATTACCTTATTTTTCTAACACAGTATCACTAGCCCCTCTTGATTATGACCATTTTAATAAAAAATAAAATAAAAAATATTATTTTATTCAAAAAAATCGACAATAAACCAGAATACCATAATACTAGGTGTATTAATATCTAATAATTATGATATCAATGACGGTGGACAAGAAACGACACCTCAATGAATTCATGGTAGGCTTGGGAAAAAAAATGCTTTTAGAGGGATAGTTTAAACATCAAAATATTATTATATCAACATTTTGACAGTCTCAGCAGCGTTTTTTTATCTTTTGATTGCTTTTCTAAAAATACCTTTCTTCAGTAGAAAAAAACGCTGCTATGACGATCAAAATGTTGATCTAATAACACTTTGACGTTTATACTATTACGTCAAAAGCAACTTTTTCCAGAGCCTACGGTGACTTCACTGAGGCGTCGTTTCTTATTAACTGTCATTGATATCTTAATTATTAGATATTAATAGATCTGGTATTATGGTATTCTGGTATATTATCGATTTTTGAATAAACTAATCATTTCTATCTTATTTTTTGTCAGAATGTTCATAATCACGAGGGCTACTGTAACCGTGTTGTAAAAATATGGTAATTAAGGGCTTCATTTTTCGTATCCATACATATATAAAAGCTCAAAGGGTTTTTTTGTTACATCCATCCCGCCGAAACCGCTTCACCAATCTTGATGATTCTTTTTTTAAATGAAAGGTATATATGTCTAGATTTGTTGTGAAGTATTTTATATCGTTTAATCGCTATTTCTTTATGTAAAACGAATAAATATTAAAACATACCTGAAAAACACCTATAGATACACACAATACCTCCAGAAATAAATTATTTGTCATTGTCAATCGTGTGTCAGTTAGATTATATATCAAGTTTTTAGATATTTTAGGGGTCAGTTCATACCGCCAGCTTTAAATACATAAATATTAGCACAAAGGTTCGTTTAAATGACATTAGTGATTAGCGAATTAGCTACGTAAAGCGATTTAGGAAATTCATCCTCTTAGAATGTAAAATTATGTCGAACAATTTGTTGTATGAAAATTCCTTACTTATCTGGTCTAGAAGAATGAAATTCTACAGAAAGAATTAGAAGAGATTTTTGAAATTCACCAATCAAATGGGTAAAGTTAGTAAACATGTATATAAACCTTCGTGAGCTCTGGATTATACACATAAAAATTTGCACAAAGGATCATTTAAAAGATATGAATTAATTATTTGGAAAAAGCGAATTTATGAAATTCGTACCCTTAGGGACTAGAATGGAGGAAATGAAAGTTTGCTGTACGAAAATGCATTACTATAACATCTAGAAGTATAAAACTTTATACAAGGGTTTATTTAGTGACATCAGTAATATGAACGAAATATTTCTTCTTCAAATCATCCTTCTAGAAATAAAAAATAACGTATAAAAAATATAAAAATGGAGTATATCAAGAAAAGCGACAATTGAAAACTTTATTTGTCAGAGCTATTTATTTTAGTAATACAGTTTATATGGGACCATAGGCAGGGGTTCTATCCATAAAGGGTACATAATCATTTCACTATTTATGTTTTTCGACAGATTTTCTTTTTTCAGAATTTGCAAAATTTCGACTTTGGTTTTAGTCAAAAATAACAAAATCGATTTTTTGAAAGGATATACAGAGCGAGTCTTAAATTAATGCATTTATTTTTAGGGGTAGTATATTTTGACCCCAGAAACACGATTATAAGTTTTGTCGCGAAATTTTTTTTGGAAAATTTGGAATTTTTTGAAAAACTTTTAACATTGAAAATGTTTCTGTTATCCTATATAAGGGAGCCCAAATCGAATTAAAATGCTACATTTGCCACACCATGACGTCATATATACAAGGGTATAGGAAATCTCGACGCAGCGGCGGCAGTCGGCCAGCGCGCGCAAAAACCATTACATCGCTAATTGTTTATTGATATATCTTTATTAGTTTAAAAGCAAAAAATATGGGGTTTGCTTTGTTACCTTGTCAAGATATAAGCGAAACTTTTAAATTGTTTCTTTTTTTTCATTTAGGCCTTCGTTTTCGTTAAATGAAAGTTATATTAAAAAAATCTATTTTTTAAACCAAATTTTCGCATG